TCATGCCCATGAACATACATGTATCTCTATTGATCGTTACAGGCTTTCTCAAGTTATTTTAATAGATTCTTACCAGTCATAATTAATTTACATGTATACGTACATTAGATTTTTGGCTTGTGCCAATGTGGCGAACCGCGCCCAGGAGTAACGGCTATACTTTATTGTATATGTTTGATTTGTCCCTAAAAATCTAATTTTACGAAGCCATCAGACACAAACGTTTTATTTTGACAAAACAAAGTCTCTCACCACTGCTATCAACAAACAGTCACTTGGAGCGATATATTGTAACTGTTTTTCACTTTTGTTTTTGCTGTCGATTGTGTATAAGTTCGTCAATCGAAAGTCCAGGATATATTCTTTTTACCATTGTCCGACCAAGACTGTTCCACTCTTTCGTCATAATAGCACATGTCCAGCAAATGTTGGTTTTCTCGAGTTAGGTCGTCTTTGATAACAATACCCGTTCCTTTAAGTTTATATCGATTCGCGATGCACTCATTTTTTTTTCTCCTGCAGATAAACTTGACCATGACCGACCTGTTCTTTTTTGAGTCAAATCTACCCAAGCGATGCGCGATATCGATCTCACTGTTCTGGATTTGCCTTTCTAATTTAGACTGAAGAACTCATTTCCTCAACATTCCAATTTCTCTGTCACGTAACCAACTTCGGCTGGTGTTTTTTTCGTATTGCCCATCCTACTTTCTAGGAAACGCACCTTTTTCTTCAATTCATCATTGCTTCTCTCCAGATCGAAAACTCTGCTTTCCAGCTTGTCGACTTTATCGTTGAGTTTTTTTCACAATTCCAGACGTAACCCTATCTTAAGTCCGTTTTAGTAGCCATTGTACTGAATTTGTCATTCAAACTTTCGACAGTTTTTGATCTATGCAACATACCTTACTATTAATTTACAAATTCAAGGCTTTTATATCGATAATATTTATATCGATCAAATATATATAGTTACAATGAAATGATGCATTTATCTTTACAAGTTATATTGAGTTAAAAGTCTTCAAGGCTGGATATAGCCCTCATCATGCCCTCATCAAACTTCTTGAGTTTTATATTGTCCATTTTAATGCCTGTGAGCGTTGGTTGATTACTAATCATCAATGTTTTTTGCCTTTTTCACAATTTTCCTACCATTTTACTTGGGATCAGTTTGGTCCTGGAAACTGACATCGAAAGTAGAAGTGGATATGGTTATTAGTTTCTCAGCCATTTAAAGAGCAAGAGCCACTCCTCTACCGATATTATTTTATACAAAAAAAGTCATGATTTTCTGTTTTTCTCGGGTAGCAAAAGTTCTGACTAACCCTGTTATACCGCAATTTTAAAGTAAATCGCTACCAATCTTAACGTTTTAGTTTAAAAAAAAGATTTCCTCATCAATATTCATATCCCAGTGTGACAACTTAACAATTTGTTTTACTCGCCGCACCGGGCGAGTGCCTATAGAAATCAACTCGCCCAAAACAAGATTCTACTCGCCCAAATTATTGATGGATACATTATAATATAAATACAAAGACCACTTCCATACAGTTCATACTCGTTCTTGCACACAAGATCTTGATTCATTTTCATTAGGTTTAACAATAAAGAATAGAGACATGTTAATATCTGGTTAATTTTATTTATTGAAGTTGGTGACAAATGTTTGTAATCGATTCCAACTTGTAAGATGAACCCCCATCAATAAAAGTGGTGCTGCGTTTTATCAATCTACGAGACTTTAACAGTTCACGGTTGTCTCTGCACCATTTACAGTACATACCGGTACCGTCTTCCGAATCTATTAACCAAGCACGGCCAACCTTCCATTTTCAATTTAAAATTCTTTTTTCTGTTTTTCTCATATTCTTTCAGTTTGATTTTATCGTTATTCCCAATCGGCGTCACAACTGGCGATTTTGCGCCGGTGAAGCCAAACCGTAAAAGGGACATGTATACATGTTTAATTGATGAACCGGAAACACGCTTGATGTAATACTGCTTGTGATTAGCGTCCCATTACAGTGTATCCGCCTATCAGAACGCGGCTTGTATTTGTCAGTGGCACAACCCATCAAAATGTGGTGACGTATTTCACAGGGATTTAGCCCGAAAGCTGTTATGTGTACTTAGTATGGGACACATTACTACTGTACGATTAAGTTACTGTAAACTCGGATATATTACAAATGTAATAGTGATGTTCTTGTGGTGTAATAACGACAAGGTCACGGGGGTTAGGTACGACATTTATCAGGACATCTTAAAAGCTCTGTAACAAATAATATAAAACGGACTTAACTACAAGTTCAAGCTGACCATACTTTCTTAACTTTCACCCACAAAGGGAAATAACTCTCACAGCACTAATAAAATTATTACTTATCAATCGTATACTATTACGATTTACAAATTGGACGTTTACAACGATTATCATAGACTTTTATATCGATAATATTTATATCGATCAAATAAATATATAGTTACAATGAAATGATGCATTTATCTTTACAAGTTATATTGAGTTAAAAGTTAAAATATAATCATACATATACAGAAATACATATATATATACCTGAATAATGGCTCAAAGCCAATGTCCTAAAACTGACCATGGAGCTACACCAATCCAAGAGACGGTCTAGTTCAACATATATCAATACAATTAGGCTTGTTAAACACACCCATTCTGTTCAAAGGAACGCCTCAGTCTGACAAGACAAAAGCCTGAACAAAAAAAAATATCCCGCCAAATTGCCTAATAAAAACCAACCAATGAAACAACAGAAACTATGTGATATCACACCACAAAGACTAACTACTTGGACATTACAATTACTGGTACAATACAGACGTAACAAAACGGCACTAAATACAGATGCATTACTATATGATACAGACGATACTAATTCCGGCAATATGTGTTACGGACGCGACAATACAATACAATGGAGAATAATATCAAAATAATGCCAAAACACAATACATATTTAATGAAACAACTTAAAAATACACGAAATAATGTCCCTGCTACACAAACTTACTTCAGCGTATTGGTCAAAGAAATTAAAAACATTATTTTGGAGAGAGGAATTTTGTCGTACTCGCCAAGTGGGCGAGTGCCAAGTTCGTTCACTGTATCCTGGTGTTGATTAATGAGACTAATTCCGGCACCGATATATCCGGTACCTTTTCAATTTCAAGTTTGAAAAGTCTTTATTTAGTCTTTATTTATATATCATCTATAACGGAGTGGGTCTGGCTCTTTAAAGTAAATGATGGTACAACGCGAGTTAAATATATATATACAGTTCAGAAGTTATAGCAGTATGTACACAGTATACACAGAGTATACACCTGGGCGATACGTATATACGTTTTGTAAGTGGTGAGTACTACTCAGAATGTTATGTTGATCACAAATAGTCTATATCACTCACATTTGGGTGGGTTACGATTCCAATAAACACTTCCTGTGGATTCACATAATCCCGATTGTCCAAGGGTGAAAATTAAACCAGTGAAATCAACTAGAATCACTAGGTACAGGACATATCTAAGGTGCGATACAAAACACCGTCCGTCCTGCTTCGGCAAGGCTGAACTCTCTATTTAACTAGATATTTAATATGGAGAACAAAAACATGTTTATCCTCCCAAGGAAGAACCGCAACTCTGTTTAATATGAAGATAGTATACATATCATTAAGTAATATACATCTATATTATTCAACAATAGTAACTTATAGTTAGACTGTAAATGAAATGTTGAATTTAATGATATATTCCTGATAAGTTTATATGGTAAAACTGTGTATTTACTTTTGACAATCTAGACAGAAAACAAATAATCAATTTTAAGTTTAATAGGAATATTAATGTATCTATTTTTTATAAGTTTATATGGTAAATTACGTGTGTATTTACTATTGTACACATCTAAAAGAAAACAAATAATCAATTTTAAGTTTAATAGGAATTTAATGTAATTTTTTTCTCATACGTTACAAACACATTAACTCAGTCAATGTATTACACAATATAACACATTTGTAGCAACATGAATGAAGTCAGCATAATCTTCCAAACAGTCAACAGCTGTATCAAATAATTCCAAAAGTGTGGAGATCTCTCCTGGCAGAAAACTTCTGCAAGTTCTTGGCATCTTTGAGAGCATCTTTTAGAGATTTGATGGAATTGACCTCCGTCTCATCAGTGTTATTATTGGGCACTCTGGCGTACGCGACATGTCATCATCATGATGTGTACCAGTGATGCTGCACAGTCCATCAGAATCTCTGTTGAGGGTATTCTACCAACCATCCTCTAGCACCTCCCTAGCTGGAGCCTGGTGGTCACGGTCAACAAACTCCTCTGGCGTCATGTCGATGTCACAAAGACGATCTCTTCCTGACGCGTTGAGTGTCGTCGTCTGTCAACAGCAGCATCACTTACGCTGATACCGCCTTTTGCAAAACATTTCACTACAGTCTCTTTCTTTACATCCTTGACAGCACCAATCACAAATCATATAGCATCCAGAACAGTTATTACTTTCGCGATGGTCTCTACTTGAAGATGATCTCCATTACCTAGACGTGCGATATTAGAAAGGAGCAGTCTTTTGCGGTGAACAACTTTCACGGTTTGAACAATACCTTGATCCAGTGGCTGAAGAACAATAGTCATGTTGACCGGAAAGAAAACAAGCTTGATGTTAGTCAGCTTTGGACTGATGAGAAGGGGCGTTGTCCAAGAATAGCAGGATGTGGTGCCGAGCGAGCCTCATACGTCTGTCCGAATCAGTTACCCATTTCCTAAATAACTGTTCGGTCATCCAGTCCTTCTTGTTTGCACGCCAGGTAACAGAGTTGAGAAGTCCTAATGTTCTTGAAGCATCGGAGATTTAAGGACTTTCCGATGATAAGAGGCTTCTCAAAGTCGCCTTCCAGGTTACAACACAGAACGAGTGATTCTGTCTTTTGACTCTTCCTTCACTTGTATTCCTCTCCTCGAATACATAGTGTCTTGTCAGGTAAGGACCGGAAGAAAAGGCCAGTTTCGTCCATACTGTAAATGTCACGAGCATCATATCCACAGATAATATTTAACAGCTTGTCTTTCCATTCTGACACCACATCCTGAGAAACACTAGCACTTTCATCACAGATGTTAGCAAATGAAATGTTAAGTCTCTTCCGAAATCTCTGCAACCATCCATCAGATGCCTTAAAGTCAGTTTCTGTGATTCCCTGTTCCTGTGTGTAGATAAGAGCTCTCTCCTGCAATATGGGTCCAGAGACAGGAATGTGCTGTGCACGTATCCGTTGAAACCAGTCCCACTTAAGTTCATTAAGTTCCTCTGATGGTGATCTAACCCAGAGTAGTTTTCTGTCATTTCCTTTGTTTTCCTCATAGCTCTGTAATATGTCGGTCTTCCGATTCAAGATGGATTGAAGTCGAGTTTTACCAATGCAAAACTGTTCAGTTAGTTATCGCTAACGACGGCCATTACGACAACGAATAAGTTCAACTTTCATTTTTTTTTTTTTTTTTTTTTTGCGATAACTCTAAATAAGTACTGAAATAATGGCCCTAATAACCTTTTATGTGTTGACGAGCCGTTAAAACTGTAATAATATTAATAATTTTGGAACTAGCGTAACCATCTTTACATACTCTTTGACCTATCATCTGTAATTGGTCTCCATGCTATGGAAACAGCCGTCGAAGGTCCTGGGAGAATATATGAGTAGAACTTTGTCTGAATAATTTTTTAGTCATCGTATAACACAGAATATGGATGACATCAGTGTAATTCTGCGGTACATAAACGGGTTTCTTTTTCAGCTTTCGTTAATTGACGCTGTGCACACTATCCACCTCCATTTGCGTATGACCATTTCCAGATACTTTTGATTTACTGTTACATTCCGTTTTACTGCCAAATTGAGAAGTGCATTTGAGATAATATTTCTGTTTTGATATCCACATCCATCACTGTAATTAACAATATGTTTAATTGTGGTGGGAAACAGCATCAGCATAACCGAGCACATCAATATGTCCATTTTTGTATGGGTCCTTTAGTTGACTAAGGCGAGAGTTTATGTGCCGGTATTTCCTCTTCTTGGTCATGGTTTACCTCCGGTCGTAAGTTGGATCATCTTTGCTTCATCGGTATTCTTAATTTTCTTCAGAAGTTGAACAGCCGCAAAGATGTTCGGGTGCGCATGCTGACAGAGCTTGTTAACCTTGCTGTGCCATCCCTCAACATGATTTGTTGTCCGTGGGCCATCGTTGTCATTATGGTTCCACAAAGCTAGTGGACGGGCACGGTCTCTGTACACATCTCCAATCAACCCTATCATTACGTCTGGTCCTGACTGAAAACATGTAGCCTGCACAAAGATCATAGTATCCACCCCTTCCATTTTCTATGAAGTTGATGTTAACCTATGCATTAGCCATCATTGAATATGAACGATTTGAAAATATGAAAATTAGCGCAAGACCTTTGATATATTATATCTTAATTCCAACCCACCAAAGCCAAGAAGAAATGGTAACCCATCCAAGCTTTGATGTCTTCTGTCATCACATCCATGTTTTAATTACTATGAGTTACAACAACACTAGTATATTAAGTAAACATTTAGGTGCATAATTACCATTATTTCACGAACGGACTATCAAATGATAAAACAACATTTAAGTAATTAATGTTAACAATATCTAATTATATTTAACAATTTTATCAATCATGTAAGTGATTAACAGAAGACACAACAACATCTAATAGGATATTATATATTTTAGAATTACTTATATCACGGAATAGATTTTTTTGCGTTTTCAGTTCTAAATCTGTCATTTTGGAAAAAAATATTGATTAAAACACTTGTAAATACATTTCTTATTGATATCGCAATTTAAACTCATGAGATTAAGGTTTTATAATATATTACATAATGCATGTAGAATTTAGTACATATATATTGAGTAATTGCAGCAAACATTTAAGATTTAAATATGATTTCCTACATGAATTGATTTAAATCTTTATTTTATAAATCATATTCAACTAGTCATATTATATTTTCTGTCAAGGAAAGTAGACTATAGCTGAAAATCACTTGGGTGTAAAATTTGACATGTTTGCCAGGTAGTACAGGTAAATTTCAGATTGTTGGCTAAGCGAGAATGAACCATTTGAACTTTCAGGAATTCCATCTTTTGATGCTTTCAACCAATTATAAACCGTTCTTTCGCCAATGGAAAGTGTTGACAAAAACATATTTTACAAACACGATATTGTTCGCCAATTTTCCGCAGAAAATAACTAAAACTTTGACGTCTCCTACTTTCATCTGGCTTAGTTTTTCGTTTGTTGACACAGAAAAGACAAGTGAATTTACAAATGTATGTAAATTTTCTTCTGCTCCCAATTATGTTTCTCCCAAAATCTAGAGAATATTTCCTGTCGCTCCTCCTCGCTAAACAAGTGACATTTTTTTAACTTTAGAGTGATCACATTTCTTCGTACAGCCCTTAGGTGTTAGAATTCTTTTGTTACGTTCGGCTGAAAGACTCCATTTTCCCTCGTCAGTTTTAATCATGCCTCTGTATTCTTTACCTTCAATTCTTTTTCGTTTCTCAACATTTCTCTTGCATTGACTTTCATCTCTACATCGTTTTCTACCCTTTGCTTGCAATTCTTCTACTATTACAGGGTTGACTTGATGATCTGAATCTGATTCAACAATGCCAGATGATTCTTCGCTTGATTCCTGGCAATAATCTGGGTCTCCTGTTGAATCGTCAAGAGTACTATATTGTTTATGGTCGCTTTCAAACCCACCAGTTTGATGGCAGTATATCGGCTGATTCCGAATTCACCTCACAGTCAGTTCTTCTGTTTGATTGGATCTGGTCATCGCTAAAATCTTCATCTTCATAACAGGTGATATCCCGTTCAATGTTGTTTTCATCAGAAAATGTTTCTGAACATGAAGGTTTCTGTACAATTATGGATTTGCATTGAATGATACAATGAGTAGAATTTTCATCAAAAGAATTTTGAGATTTACATGAATGGATGTCAGTTGTTGCTGTAATTTTAGATTTAAGACTTCACATTTCTTGAGAAATTTTATCTTGGATATCCACATTGGGTTTGCTGGCTAACGATAACTGTACTATTAATTTTCCTCTGGAACTAAGATTCAACAACCGTTTCTACAATAAGGATGAAATTTGAATTCCGCTAATTTGAACTTATCTCCAATCCTTGAGGTAATGAAATATCTTGGTGTGGTTTCAGGATACAGATTATAGTAGCAGTATTGTATGAAATTGAAGTGTTTATTTCTAGAGCTAAAATGTCCAAGTTGTCTTTGTTGTTGTAACTTAAGAAAAGTTTTTTCACGGTATAACAGCTTTGAAATGTCTGCGGATGATCGTTGCCATTTACAAGAATTAGCTGTACATGTCATTTTTTTCTGAAAGAAAAATGTATATTTCTTCATCTTAATAAGAAAATGCTGCAGATTTTTTTATTTTATATACTGAAATTTGTGTTATTTAAATGCTATACATACATGTTTGACAGACGCTGTGACGGAATGTATATCGATCACATAAAACAGAAATAAATGATATTTCTACAAATTTAAACTACAAGTATTACTTACATTTGTTTTACACTTTGAAAATTATTAAAATACATTATAAAATGGATTTTCAGATAATCTTTCTGTCTGGAACCAATTATCAAATTGTAGTATCTGTGTGTATAATTCAATCTTTACAATACCAAATTGTCGTATCTGACGTTCCTTTTCAAAATGGTCTTTAATAACCTTTGATATTGAGTTTTTAAGTATCAAATATGTTTTATATGAAAACAAAAATACAACTGATATAAAAGAACATTGATTTCATTCACTTACATAAAATTTTAGCTGGGAGCAGACATTTGTATGTTCCAATATTTTGGACACTAATAACAACAAGATAATTATGATGAAAATCCAGAGATATGTCAACAAATATCATAAAATCTTTGAAAGTCATTAACGAACAGAACTGACTCCTATAGAGGCAAAACAACACGAACACTTACTCTTAATTCTTCCTTGAAGAAAGCATTTTGTCGTGTGTTATACCATTTCTGATTGGAGTAGAACAATGATATTTGACAGTATGTGTAATTGATTATAAATACTTTAATAGTGTAAAAACTGGATTTTGAAAAAATGTGTAGATACGACATTTTGACAGTATGTCTACGATATGTTCCCCTGACTTTTGTGCGAGATTATCATATGACCATTTTGATATCAGGCTTTATCAGCCTGAGAGTCCCAGTAGTGTATTAGGTCGCTTGTTGACCCCAACAAAATGATCCTCCATGTGTCAAAAAAATGATTCTCCATATGTCACAAAAATGATCCTCAAGTAAACATACTCTACAACAATGTTACGGGTGTGAGTTTTTGTTTAGCTGGCCGGTCGAGGTGTGATTATTTGTTCACTTAAGCCCGGAAACGAAATAGCCTTTTGAGACATCATTATTTGAAATCTAGAATATCAAGGGATTACTATTGTAATGTTTTGTGATTTAATGTAACTGTAAAATAACTTATCAATTGATATTTATGAACGTGATTTCGGTATATTATGTAAAGCAAGTGCTCCTTAGTTTGTTACAAGCGTTACCTGTATTCGTTAATTCCTATTGTATTGTATTATTGTCAAGGGGTATAAGTTCGACTTTCAGTGACCGATCACGTGCACGTGACAGTCCTATAGAAATGTAGTCATGCGTAGCACACCTGTGAAGTTGAGCGGGAGTACGACCTTATTAGCTAGGTTATTTATTACGGGTATATAAGGCCGGGTTGTTGGAACATCGGGGTCCTCTCTTCCGCTGGAGTCAAAGCAGGAAGGCCTTGTTGATGGTGAGATATTATTGAATAATTGTAAAGCTCAAAGGGGAAAGCGCACTTCGCCAGAGTACAGCGGTTTGGCGTGGACGCCGGGAAGTTATTGGCGTAAGGGGTAACGCGGACGCCGGGAGCTGGGCCGAAGGTTACTAGGGCGCCTAGGAACGTATTGTGGGACGGGCGAGGATGATGGCGAAGTGTGTTCCCCCTTAGTTAAGTTGGCCTTAGTTTTGCCAGGGAACTATTGTTATTATTCGACGGCGTAACGTCAGCGTTACGTCTACCGAAAGATCAGACTATCATTCGTTATGCGTGGCATTGCAACAGAGATTTTCTCCCGAAAACCAAACAGAATTATATCGTGCACAGTTAAAGAGTCGTTGCGCAAAACCCGGCGAAAGTTTACCAGAATTAGCACAGGGTATATTGAGACTTACGCAGTTGGCGTATCGTAGCGCCACACCCGAAATCTGGCAAATCCTGGCTAAAGATTCTTTCATTGACGCCTTACCTAGTTCTGAGTTACGAATACGCGTCCAACAGAGTAGGCCTGCTGATCTGAACGACGCTGTCCGGTCGGCGGTAGAATTAGAGGCTTTCGAGAAAGCTGAAAGATGTCGCTCAGATTATAAGCCACATGCCAGGGTGGCTGAGTCAAGTAATGTGATGAAGCAGGAAAAGAAACTGGACGCATTAACAACATTGCAATCTGTGGTAGAAGAATTGGCAAATGAAGTCAAATACCTTAAAGAACACCAACAACGCCCATGGAACAGAGGAGGGCGTAAATGTTATTTCTGCGGCGAATCAGGACACTACATACGTGATTGTTCAAAGAGGCAGAATGCGCGCGCCGAAAATAACGCCAGGCGAGCTAATATTGGAGCAGGGTACCATCAAATGGAGGCAGGAATGTACGCCACTTTGACGCTTCTTTCGCACGATGTATATCAAGGGATTTCTGAAAATGATAGACCTGGATTACATGACTTTCCGCGAGATATTTTAACGGCAAATGGGGATCCTATGACAATTTTCGGGAAGTCGGAATTTTCGGTTACAATCGGCAATCATGCCGTGCGTCTAGAAGCGGTTGTTGCAGATATTACGGCGGACAGTATTCTTGGTTTAGACTTTTTGCGACAAAGCGACTGTCATGTAGATCTAAAACAGAACACTCTAACCATTTCT